TAATTTGAATAATTTATGTTCCATAACTTTATCAAAGCAACTTTTATTACCAACCAATGAACCTAGCCCTACCCATTAAAAGTTTATGTGGACTAGATTCATTAATAGGTTGCAAAAAAACTGCAAATAGAAATAAAGAAACTGTTAAAACAATTAATATTATATTCAAAAAAAATACCTTTCACTAACTAACATTTTGACCTTTCAACATCGCTAAAACAGCGCCCCCTTTTGTGAGGAGGGGGTCTGGTAAACCAGAATACCATGGTCTTCAATGTTAATTGCTTACTTTTAGAAGTTAAATTATTTCTGCATAATGACCTTTCTTTTGAATATTTTACCAGGGTTGCCTTTTGATATAACTTTCTCAGTGGTGCACACACTTCATTGAATCAAATAGGATTGTATGATAGAGTACATGTGCCATTCTAACAAAGATGCTTATCTGTTTGTGAATTACCACATGAATCAACTGTCTGACTAACTGACTAACTACCTGAATTGGTTTCTACACTTGAATTTCTGTGTCTCATCAAAGTGAATGAGATCACCAGTGTGCAACTGGCACATATCTGGCTTTAACTTTATTGGTAAACTAAATCAACACTAATTCTGATTGTTCTGCTTGATTATTCTGACTATCTGCTGTATATATTTCTGCCGCTGTTTACTGCTTTTACTTAATCTGTTTATTCTAACTATATGCTGTATATATGTCTGCCGCCGCCGCCGTTTTATTACTGTCTACTAAAAAGGAGGTGGCCACCTCTCATCTTTACGAATTACACATGTACTTATATCATTCACATGTATCCTTTGACAATCCCTTGGAGATCCTGGACAAATTTAAATTTCAATGAATATCAATTACCAATCCTTTTACCATTGATTTTCAATCCATACATGCTTAATTAATTTCTGCACATTTATTAAGTCATTAAGGGCACACATATCGATTATATCATATTTTGATTTATTCAGGTACTCTAATGAGATCCCTTGTTACCTGATACCACCAAAGTGAGGGGGCTGTATCTGCATTATACATTTCTGTTTAATTGTCTTCTGGAAACCCAAACAAAAACCAAATCACCATTCCCACAGACACCAGGGGGAGGGGCAATTTTATGGTAGCACACTTATGTAGATTTTGATTTGTCACCTGGTCAATGGGTCAATGAGATCAATGTGATCCTTATAATCACATTCATACTTATACTCTCCTCAACAAATAAACCATCCTTTGAACCGGAATATGGTTCATTCATTATAAACTCTGATTATTCACACTCCATTACTTCATATTTCAGTCTAATCAATGCACTTTCCTTTACTTTGCTCATAAACTCTAGAATGTGAATTTGATACATTTGTGGAACTTCTCTTTCCCCAGGGATGAATGGGACAATGTCTATCAATTGACAATTACTGATAGACTTTATATAACTGGAGACACTTATGACCTGTACCAAGCAGAGGCACAACTGCAACCATGGGAATCTTCCTTTTGAGTTTACACATTGGTACACATTGTTTTAATGAACCTGGGGCTAGGATACTCGGCTGGGATATACTCCCAATACACACACAAATGCACAAATGTGCATAACATATTTTTGATACCTTTCCCTTTCATGACATATTTTTGATAACCCTCTCCCTTTCTTAGTTTACACATTGCCTGGGACACATTGTTTTCATTAACCTGGGGTACCTGGCTGGGATATACTCCCCAATACACACACATATGCACAAATGCGCATAACCTGTTTTTGATACCTTTCCCTTTCATGACATATCTTTGATAACCCTCTCACCTTCTTAGTTTACACATTGCCTGGGGCACATTGTTTTCTTGAACCTTTGATACTTGGCTGGGATACACTCCTCAATACATACACAAATGCGCATAACACATCTTGATACCCTTTCTTTTCATTGCATATTTTGATAACACTTTCCCTTTTTAATTGTACACATTGTTTTCGTGAACCTGCGTACTCGGCTGGGATATACTACAAAATATACACACTGATGTGCATAAATATATTTTTGATAACCATAGTCCAATTCCTACCCTTGAATTGGGAATGTCGCTCCTGGCTCTACTGGGTATAACTATTATTTACCAATTTTAATTTGTGGCCTTATTTTTAAGCAATTGTTATCCTCTGACTGTCTGATACAAAACAAACACATCCCATTAAAAGCTAATTCAAATGCTCTTGACCATACACTATATACAAATCACAGTAGTAATTAATATCTCTGCCAGGACAAATCTGGTTGTGCTGTGCTATATGACAATTGCCTAAAAAGACTCTAAATAATTCCCAATTTTGGAAACAAAATTTTCGAGAAGAATTATTATTAAAACTGGGCACCAAGGTAAAGCTTTGAAAACACTAGTTTCTGGTTAAGATGGAATATAATGGCTCTTTTGGGTTGTTTAAGGTTGTGCTCATTTCAAATATTTCAGAAAAATAAACACCAGTACACAAAAAAATACCACAAAAAAATAACCAGCGTTCCTATGAAGGACACTTGAAAAATAAAAAATATATACCCGTGCTGTGCATTGGACAGACACTTCTGTTTGGACTCCCGCAGATCGGGAAAATAGTACACTCTTTTATCTAACTAGATTGCTGTTTCTGTCCAAACCGAAATTCCGTAAACGGAATAAGTATACACCAAAAAATAACCAATGTTCCTATGAAGGACACTTGAAAAAATAAAAAACATATACCCGTGCTGTGCATTGGACAGACACTTCTGTTTGGACTCCCGCAGATCGGGAAAATAGTACACTCTTTTATCTAACTAGATTGCTGTTTCTGTCCAAACCGAAATTCCGTAAACGGAATAAGTATACACCAAAAAATAACCAATGTTCCTATGAAGGACACTTAAAAAAATAAAAAACATATACCCGTGCTGTGCATTGGACAGACACTTCTGTTTGGACTCCCGCAGATCGGGAAAATAGTACACTCTTTTATCTAACTAGATATATTGCTGTTTCTGTCCAAACCGAAATTCCATAAACGGAATAAGTATACACCAAAAAAATAACCAATACGCTAAAAAAATATACCTAAGAGCGACCACGCTCAAAGTTGGTAACCCATATACTTGTGATTAATGTACACTTAAAATAGCACACCTAACAAAAAAATTAGAGCCGTGATGACAATGAAAGTAATAACCAGTGTTTCAACGATCAAAGCAAATTAATGGAAATAGAATGCCCAAGTACGTAGTTACATGGAAGTAACCAATAAATGCAATAAATTACATTTAAATCCTGCCGACTGCGCCAAATTATGTAACGACCCAAAGGTGTTGTGTTGGGGGTTGTGCAGTTTCGTGGGGGCTGATTTGATAATAAAGGTCAAACAAAACATTTCGGTTTGAGGTTAACAATAATCAACATTACTATATTGTTTAATTATAAGTAAAAAGGTACATGAACATGTTACATAACAATAGGAAATGCATACAAGTACAACTCCTGTAACCTCAATACTAATTAAATCTAAGTACAATACCTGGACTGATAGCTTGCAATTATCTCACACAATAATGCCAAAGAAATCATGTGTTCAAAGTACCTGTAAATAATGCATTGATAACTCACCCCAAAACAACCAAGTGCCTGCAACTTAAGTAAATATCCAAGATGGTGACAAATATATATCCGACTAATTGATAAACTGAACTCCTTAATTGATTCATTAATTGATTCCTAGTCCAAATATCCATAAAGACTGTACAAGAGCTGAGGACCTTTACCCAAGCGAGCCAGGAGCGAGACTGAGGTCTTGATGGTGAACATTTACTTATATACCCCTGAGACCCCAAGCGCAGCTTGTACAGAGGGACCAAGACATTGAAGCCATTGATTGGTTAACTTGAGTACTAAAAGACTAAAGGACATCTCTAAAACTGACCATGACAAATTATGGACCAATGATTGGTTAAGTGACTGAAGCAAATGTTAGAATGCAGTTGGTACTGAGAATATTCCATAGTAAAAGACTGCTTGCACCAAAACTCAAGGTGACTGAAGATGACCAGACTGTTAAGTGATTGGTTGAAAGATACAATGGAAGTGTGCCTACTGTCTAAAGACCACCAGCCTCTATGAAACCCAGAACTAAGGCTAGATACTGATACATGATTGGTTGACAAATGACAATTAAATTTGACCATTATATGAAGACCTTCAGCCTTTATGTAAATGCAGAGATAACTGAGAAATTATACATCCTAAGACCCAAATCCGTCACACCACATTTGCTTCCCCCATTAGGCAGCCTATTTTTCATTTTAGGGCTCCTGGATCCAATTTTGAAATTACATATGCCCATTTTTATCTTTTTGGAAAATGAGTCTCAAACTTTTCAAAAGTGGCCTCAAATACAAATGAAAATGTCAGCACATGTTGATAATTGGTAAGTAAAAAAAAACATATGTCCCCTCCTCCCTCCCTTTTAATTTACAGGTTCGCCCCTGGGAAATATTATCTCACACCCTATATGCAATAGATGTTCCCACATATTATCTAACTAGAGCCTCAATACGTATGTAATGGAGAGCATTCAAAGCATATGGCCATATATGTATATTGGATATGCATTGGAGCATGGCCTCTAGTTCAACTTTAGGCATAGACTTTCAAGAGAAAGCCTTTGCTTCAGGCATAATTATCTGCTAAAGCCTTACAGACTGTAGTTATGTGTGTCTTTTCCAAGTTCATATTCTAACATGTATAAATAAAGCTAAGTTATAAAAGTACAGCATTACTAGCTGTAAACAGCTCCTAATGGAACCAGCTTGCTTTGAAACAAAACTTTGGTCACTTTGCAGAAACTTTTCACAAAGTTTTCACATGTCCAGAGTTCCAAGCTTCACATAAAAATGAATGAAATAATACATCAATCTTTTAAAAACAATGTACAGTCTAATTCAACTTCAAAATCTGCGAAAGAATGAGCAAAATTCCAAAGAATTTACCTCTATATCTGGTACATCTTTGCTCAGTGCCATTCTGCTTGTAATTGGACTGGTCTACTATTTTGATGGAAGGGGTGAAAGTTCACACAAACCTGAATACAGCGTAATCCGGCACAAAATTTTCATGCCTTCATTTATGTGAAATTCGTCTTTATTTTCAAGATTGTAAGAAAGGTGAGTGCCAAATCACATTAATATTATATCAGTGTCTTCTCTATGAAGGCAAGCTGCATCAAGAATACGAATTTAAATCAAAGAATGTCTAATAATCGGTAAAAATACAAACAAAATGAAAATTGCCTTTATTTTGTCGGATTAGATCTAATTACAAAATTGTATTCATTGCCACATTCAACATTGGATTCACGCAAAGTAGAAAGCTAGTGAGTTGATCAGTAGTCTTCAGAAGTAAACACCTCGACAAATCATGAAATATCACCTCAGATTTACCACCCAAATAATAGATCTATTGTCATCTTTAATTTCCAAGGTGGTTACTGTCTAATAACTTCAGTTTTGACAATTGTTGAGTGTTGACATGATAATAAGTCGCCCCATTTATTCTTGTATCAATATCCACTTTTATTAAACTCACTATATGTACCTGGGCAATCTGATTTACAGTTTAGACCATAAATAAGTGAGTCATGGATTTGCTGAAGTGAGGGCTTCCCATGATAAGAATAAGATTTTCAAGGAGCCATACATCAGTGGATGAGAGTATATAAAATGTAAAATATACACATTTTAGGGAATATACGTATATATCTAGACAATATTGGAAACTATGGGCTTTCAACCGAAATGGTTTGGAAATGGTGATAGAAAATCGACTGCTCACACACCCAACTCAGTGGTCTTTTTGTATTTGCAGGACCTACAATGAGTGAAAGTGCATCAGGGGGTGGAGGCTTTGATGCTGATTTAGTGGGAGCATTTATCCCTAAGCCTGACCTGCTTCAAGTGCTTACAAATATGGGGATAAGCAGGAATGCCGCTACAAAGGTGAGGCTGTATTAAAAGCTTGAGTAACAGGAAGTTGAGATTGTTGAAGTATTGACCTTTGACTTTTTTTGAGCTTACATCCATCACATGACCTTGATGTCAGGTAAACTAAAATGGTTGCAGCATTGTATGTATGTTGTTATTGCCCTTGAATTGGGATTGAAAATTGAGTTTTGTTTTTACTTTGTTCCAGGGTTTATACCACACTGGAAATTATAATGCAGACCTGGCAGCAGCTTGGATCTTTGAGAACCAGGATAAAGACCTTGACAACCCGCTTCTGGTATGCAGCTCTGCATTAATTATTATGTATTTGTGAATTATAATGGGATTTTGTGATTGAATTGCATTCCCTTATTGGCGCTTATCCATTTGCCAACATACAGTGTACTAACTTCAGTATCATAATCTTTTGCATTTTCTGCAATGTCTTACAGTACAACTTGTAATAAGTTATTATGGGATTTCATATGTAGCCAATAATGTTAAAGTTTTAACTCACAAATAAATGCATGATTGTTTTCATGCATGTTAAATCAGTGTTTACACCTGTAGTGTTATTGATGCCATCCAGGCCCGTAGCCAGGATTTGCCAAGGGGGTTCACTTTTGACAATTTTGGGCAAAAAAATGGCCAAAATCACTTAAAAAGTGCTCAGAATGGTAAAAAACTGCATGATTTTGAAAGAATTTTTGGCTAGGGGGGGGGGGTTCGAACCCCCCTTGGCTACGGGCCTGCCATCTCTTAACATGTTCATTCTGTTACAGTTAGGTGAGGACGATGATAGCTCGGAGGATGAGATGGAAGAGTTCTTGGATGAATCTGATTTTTATAAAATGGTGTTTGTCGTTAACCAGTCCCTCGGAATGGGGGTAGGAAAGGTAGCAGCACAGGTTGCCCATGGTGCATTGGGATTATATCGTGTTCTCGTTGAAGATCACAATAAATATGGCGGACCTTTGATGGCTTGGGAGAGCTTTGGGTATGGCACTTTAATTCTGTTCAACAAATTAATCACATTTAACAGTTTATGATTCAGTTTACATGTGCATCCAGACATTACATATTTCCCATTTCATTTTTATATCACCCACCACAAGTAATGACATATTGTTAAAGTCTCCAACCTTTTTGTGGACAGTGTTTGGCATTCACTGGTTGGTGTATGTAACAAATGGCAGGTTGTGACACTTTGCATGTTTATGCCTACTTTGTAATGTTAGAACAACCATTCCTTGTTTCAGTGAGACCAAGATTGTGACAAAGGGTGAAAATGGTGAACATTTACAAGAACTTCAAGCCAAAGCTGCCTCCCTAGACATTCCCCACTACCAGGTCCACGATGCTGGGAAAACACAGGTACTTTGGTATTTGAGAACAAGGGTAGATGAAGTTAAATAAATTCTGGTTTTGACTCACCAAACTTAGTTAAGTAAATAAACAATTTGTCTACTGACCAGATTTTTACAAATTTTCTTTGTTTTCCTGACAATTCAGTTATAACATGATGTTATAGTAAATCAATGTAATATATCAGAATGCAACTTTCATTTCAGATAGCTGCTGGTTCAAACACTGTGCTAGCCTTATTTGGAAAACTGGACATTGTAGATAAAATTACAGGATCTCTTCAATTGTTATAGCCTTCGATACATTCTCAGCTGAATGGGAGGAAAATGCCGATTATATCCCGATGTACAGTAGTTTATCCCGAAGATCTTTTTATCTGTTAAATTGACTGTGCCAGTATGAATCATTTGTCAGTATAGACTAGATACCTAATGTGGAAGCCTGGACTCTAATAATTGCTCTCAGAACAGGGCAAATAAAGTTTTTCGATATTAATGACTTGCTTGTAATGATCCCAAAAGGAGCCATTATGGCCTTTAATGCCAACTACCTATGAACTAATGAAGGCATTATAGTTTTATCTCGATCAACCTATTACTGGTTGGAGCTGATCAAAGGATAATCTCTAATTCAATAAAAATAGTGCAAATAAAGCTCTTTTTAGAAGAAGCAATGTCAAATTTTGAAAAAAGGCCTGATAACCTCTGAGCCAACATACCTTAAGGTTTGTGAATTAGGAAATGCCATTGGTTGTAAGAAAATGCCATTGGTTGTGAGTAAGAAAATGCCATTGGTTGTGAGTAAGAAAATGTCATTTTAAATATAATTGTGGCAGTGCCTTGTTCCTCATTCAAATTTTTTTTAGAATGAACATTGAATTCAATTTTATATATTAGTGTTTAAACCATGCAATGTTCTGTATACACATAGATTTTTAGTATGCATAATATTATACTATGTAGTATATTGTTTCTTATTTACTGATGTAGTTATAATCATATATTGATAAGATAATTGCATATTACATGTGGAAAGTGGAAAATTGTTTGTCTTGATAGGAAAGGAAAAATATTATTAATAGATAAGACAACGCCAAGAAAGGCTTGAGAGATTAAGTATCTCTGTCCAGAACTTGGAGATATTTTAGGTGGATTCATTTGGACGGAAAATATTTCAGAGTTTCTAAATGTAAGGAAAACTTGCTCTTAGTTCATTTTAATGGCCCTAACCCAGGCTTATGAGCCAACCATTACAGAGATAGTATCCACATCTTGTGACAACTTAGGGTGTTCAATGATGTTGCTTTCTTCATATGAAACACTCCCACGAGGAACCAGAGTATGACAGGTGTGGATACTACCCCTGTATAAATATAAACTTGATAAAACCCACTTGTAAATCTATATTAATTTGACTGTCCTAACTCCTAACCATTGTGAGGCATATGTTAAAAGTGTCAAAGTTGAAGGAATTAGACAGGACAGAGAGCAACATCTTAAAAAGTCATGTCAATTTTTCTGTTTAAATTTATTTCTGTCAAAGGCATTGAGATATCCGATCAAACAGATGTGGAGTTATACTGAGAATGCAGAAATGTCAAAATTTATTAGATTGAAGGGGACATCCGCTTTTCAATTTTGTGGACAGATAACCATAAAATCAAATAATGATCTTGAAACAAACCCAGACCGTAGATCTTTTGAGAAAGTAGGCATGAAAATGATCAGAGCAAAAAATATGTAAAGTTGTGGCATATTTTAAAACTGTCAACTTTCTGTATTATATCCCTTCTAGTTCTTATAGGATTCATCATTTCCAGATTTACTGTAATGGGGTGTAATACTGTCATATATTAAGGGGTCACTCAATAAAGGGTTTAATGGTGCTGAATATTTGAATACTCTTGAATCTTGACACTCCTTTTAGTTTTGAATTAATTTCAGAATTAAAGTGAAATAAATTAAATGCTTGTAAATAACAAAGTGATTTTATGTTAAATAAATGATAAAACAAAAGAGTTTTTCCTTATGTCTACTGACCACTTTATTGATTTATTTTAATTTTGGTCAATTTATAACAACCATTGATGTGCACTCACTCACTAAATATTAATTTCATCTTTTCACATGAACAAGCAGTAGTTCACATACACTTAATATACCCTATATAAAGAAAATGAAGTTGTAATGTTAAACAAAACAAAAAAGAAGATGGGTCATACTAAGACATATTCTGCAATTACTGACAGTCTTGGGTGTCACTTAATAAGTTCACGCTTCAAATAGGCCTATACAAACTGTACTAAATGACATCCTCCGAATACAGGCCTCCAGAACTCAAGCAACGCAGTGGATGATGTCCGGAGCCCTGGATTTGGAGGATGACTAAATGAATTCACATTAGCTATTACATGTCTACCAGTACACTGTACTGAATGTACAATAACTCATTATTACCACCTTGCCGGGCCAGTTCTAGGGGTTTTAGTGCTAGTTTAGAAGGCATTCACATTATTGTACTGTTGATTCTCAACTGGTGCCTCTGTCTCTTAAGTCCACAGCATGTAGTTGTGTAATAGTGCATTCAAGACTGCAAAAATGTAGGAGTTAAAACAATTGCTTGAAAATAAAATGTCATATAAATGAAGAAAATTTGACGTTTGATTCTCAAGCAATTTGTTTTATTTTTCAAGTCATTGTGATACGTCCTCAAACATATGCAACTTACACTAAAGGTGAAAAAGATAGGGGGGGGGGGTCTGGAGACGCGATGCAAAACACTTGTCTTACAAATAAAGATTTTTTACATTGGTGGTAAAATTTCAATTGCAAAGGTGGTTGGTTGATCTAGATGTATGTAGAATTTAGTGCAAAACTTTTGAAATGACCCCTCATGTGTCTTCTGCCAAGCATTTTCAAACAACCAATCCAAATCATTTCACATTTTGGAATGCAGATTACAAACCTAAGACAATCCTACATGAACATGATATAAATTAATAAATGCATTATAATCAAAGTATTAATAATAGCAAATATACAGAAACAATGTGATGAAATGTGAATGTGGAGAGAGCATCTCTGAGCTATTGCATTTGATTTGTGAAGGACACCAATTTATTTTACATCTTCCAAACATCAAAAAATATAAGCCACAGTGGAGGAATTTATGTTTTCACGCACATTTTCAAATTAAAATATTTTTCAACAAACTCATAAAAATGCACAATTTAAGTTAGATACTGTACATATAAATATCAGAACAGCATCATTACATGAAACTCGTTAAACAATAAATAGTAATATCTACAGATAATTTACAACAAAATCTGCTTGTATACTCAATCTTACAAATTAAACCAAAATCCCAATATACGAGACTTGCTCCAAAAATGTTGATATTTTACTTCAGTGAAATTCTGCAATTTTTTCAGCACACCTGTACAATTAGGATGGGAACCTTTTAGCAGTGTATGTACCCATCAGTGTCATTTAAAATTGGATGAAATAATAATCAAAACCACACAAAAATATACAAATTAAAATGCCACTATCTTTTCGGTTGACATACATGTAAATATGGCCAGCCACTAAATTGTACAATGACTTACAAATGGACAAATACAAACATGTGCAGTTCAATAAAAATGGCATCAGATTTCAGATATGATAATATTGATATTAAATGCTATGCGAATGTAGCTAAAAGGTGGCTATAATATCATTAATAACAATATGTTATAGTTATAATATGTACATGTATTTAAAGACAGGTAATGTGATTGTTTGGAAAACTTTTCTAAATATCAGCAGTGTACATCTAACCTATCTCTGTACATACAACTTAAAGCCCAAATATTTAAAGGCTCACATACTGCTTAAAACTCATACTTTTAAAGGCTGTTGTGCGCTAAAAATTCAAAATGTTTAAAGGCTCTTGTACTGCTTAAAGCGTATATATTTAAAGGCTCTAACGCCTGGTACAAATTTTACACATACTGTGGGTCAAAGACACACAAAAACATATATCAAAGGACTAAGGACAAGAAAAGGATAAATTATAATACACTTTGGTGCTTTTTAGTCTGGTACATCACTAATACACTATCAGGCAGGTGTAAACATTTTTGTTGATTTATAAATATAACATCTGCAAACAATGTTAAAACACATTTTCACAGATTGTAATTGTACATTCCAGATTCAATATATCAGGTTTGGTAGATCTGCCTGAACCAATGTAAGAACCGAATGTATGGATTTAAATAAATAATTATACAAGGACCTCATTTCTTGGGGGATTTAAATTCCTGCCATATTGTTAATATAAATATCAATGTGATATAGCCACAGTAAGCCATTAGCTGTAATGCCAAATAAATTAATATGTTTTGTGTATACAAAAGTTTACAATTCACACATTCCAGTTCTTTCTCTTAATTTTGAATTCTATTTTGCATAATGAGAAAGCAGATGATATCCTTTATCTGTATTAAATTGAATTCAAGAAAATCCATACAGCGATATTTAGGCGACAGTATGTGCCAGCAGAAATAACCCAAAATCTACAATTTATGTAGCACAGTAGACATTTGTAAAACAAGCTTTTCCTAAAATGTAAGTACTATGTAAGTACTACTATACATGTGTTTCATAACAAAATAAAAATACATGTTATTCATTAAATCCATTAGTAATTTAGTATTTATATCAATTTTGTATGGCACAAGCATTTATTAATTTCTCATTTAATATCTTACTATGGACTATTATACATCCCCTGTGGTGTTCAAGTCACATGCCATTGAATATAAGTTTTAAAGATTTTAATAAATAAAACAACAACAAAACAAAGTGTGTCTTGTAAGTCATAGTGTCATAACTGGTACCTTTTACAATTTAATGAAAAAAGAATGATTTGATTGTATATGGTATCATCCAATATATTTTCAATAAATATCAGTATTGCACCAAGCTTAACAATAAATACCATTCTTCAAATCCAGTGAATTAGGCTCATAAAATTCAATTTTGAGATTGCAAACACGACATTGCACCCTGAACAATAATAAAAACACCCACTTGAGACTGCATACTGCACTTGGTCAAGAAAACTTTTAGGTGTATATCATGTCTGTAGTACATGACATAAAGTTTGCAAACGCAAGTCATATGTATAGTTGTTAATATGTACAGTAACACCTGTGACAATGAACACCTCTCTACAGTGAACATCTCACACACATGTGGAACCTTTTTCATTCCTTTTTTGAATATCCCAATTTTTGATACAAGACCTCTCAAGCAATGTTCAGTTTAGGCAGGTTTTACTGCATATAAGCATACATTCAATGTGTGTCATTGTTATTACAGTTCTTATGTATATCCATCACTATAGTAAATGTATAAGTCCAACATAAAGGCTTTAAACCCCTCACCCCCTCTTGTGAAGTGGGTGTGTAGGGAGGGGAGGGGTGGGGGGTAGCAACTCTTTGAAGCAAGAATATATATGCGTATGTCCACCTTGAGCATGAGGGCCGATTTGCTCAAACAGAACCTAATTTCTCATCCAAACTTACTGTATAAAAGTCCAATACAGCAGTGTCTTTTTTATTATTCTCGTTATTCATATCTGTTGCCATTGATTGTGCTTCAGGTGAAAACAGGTGTCATTAAAATTATATATATGTACAACCATTACATGTTTTTTAATCACCTATTATATTTATATGTATATATATACACACCAAATTCGCATAAGTAGTCTATACCTTACTTCATACAATTTGTTGAAATCCTAGGGGGTGAGAAACCCCCTCCTGTGTTATTGACTTGAGAAAAGTCCACTAAAGTGTTCTCTTAAAATATTTAAATTGTCTATAATTAAAGGCCAGTGTCTCCATACTGCTACAGAACAGCCTATCAGAGCCACTGTTGAGAGAATTCGAAGTCTGAAAAGCAAAAAAGAATTCTTTTAAAACCAGTCATTTTGTAGTGGTACACAACAATGACTCTTGAGATAGTTCTCGGGCAAAGCATAGTTTTGTGTTTAATGTGTCTTACAATGTATGGGCCCCATTTGCAATGAAACATATGTCTCATCAAAACAATGTTCATAACATACATATGGATATTTCTCATCTAGATGTTATATCATACAATTTGCATAATGTTTAATCAATACTGATTTTGTATGAGATAATATTATTCATGTTTCTTTCTAAGAGTGATCCTTTATTGTGCTGTCCCAATTTATCGACGTGATCCTATAATGAATGATATCCCACTGTCAAAAGTTGTAAAAGAACAATGTTAATTTGATAGGCAAGAGGATAAATGAAGATTTCATTTGATTTGAAAAAATTCAATCAAAAGCCAAATGAACATTTATATATAACCTGTATTATGATTCAAGGGAGGCTAGTTAAGATATACTGAAATGAACCCATTCCACATTGCCAACATATGGACACCATCCCTAAGTATGCATGTACGTAATTTACCTTGAAGTGAGGAATGGACCCAGTATATTAGCCAGAGTAGAGACTGCCACTAAGAGTACAACAAGGATGGCTAACACCATGTTGATTAGTTTAGTTATGAATACCCTGGCATTAGAGTTCTCTATGCCCTCCATAGAGATGAGTTGTTGTTGTTGCTGCTGTAGCTCCATCTTAGTTATCTGCAAAGACATGTATGGGGTGAGACATAAATACCTTATTATTTAATGATTGTTGGATTGTGGTGGAGGGTTGTTACACACTGAAATTGAAATATATTTGTACAATGATATAGGTGTTTTCAATGATTTTTAAGTCATAAGTGACACTGTAAGTAATCCAAAATGGCCTTATGTATTTTATCTTACCCTTGTTTGGCAGTTTTCGAGGGCTTCATGTATATCACGAGTCCTCTCTTCTAGCTGATAGTCCATTTTCTCCTCCATACTGGTCAACTCCTTTTCAAACAGAATGGAAAACATCATCAATTTGTAATGAGCATTCATGCACTGAAATGCTGTTTGTTGCAAGTTAATATTTTTTGTAGCGGCGAGTAGGCATTAAAATATATGGATTTTTTCTTTTGTATAACATTCGTAAAATTTTCTTTTAATATGTTTCGTATGAAATCAGCTAACATATTCTGAATACTTTGAATATTTTTGTTTAAAAAGATTACGATGTTTAAATAGATTACAATGTAGAATTCTGCATGAAACCTTTACACCTGGACTAGAAGAAATGTGTTGAAAAAAACGGCAGTTTGGATTTATTATATAGCTCTACCATACTTCTTTATCAAGTGTGCAATGGTTAGCAAGAGTCTAATCTATATGAACCCCGGGATACCAATCAAACACTGTGCTATTACCAGCATTAAACACAGCCTATTTAACAAAACGCTGGCCCCAAGATCTATGATTTGAAGAGATTGTTCTTGTTTCTCACCTGTTTTAGATTGGTGATTTCATGCTGATGAAGCTCAGTGAGGTCATTCATCTGTTCCTCTTGTCTCTGGTACCTGAATCTTTCCTCTTCTAGAGCTTGTTGGAAGCATGCATGGTTGGCTTGCATCTCAGCCTAAAGCACATAAATGTGTTAAACGATTCAAGGGCTCGATGTGTTGTGGATGATTTCAAGCATGATCATCTTGTATGAGACTTTGAATGAGGGTAAGAGCTCAATTTCAAAGGCTCACATACAAGAAACGAGTGCATTAAATCACCCTAAGTCATGGGCTTTCAAGAGATATCATTAAAAAGAATGAAATTCAAACTTTCTAGCGCCTACTTGGCTAGTCATTAAGATACTTTTTACAGTTTTTTACAATTGTTCAGGAATTGCAAAGTAATGTACATTTCTAAAATGCTCATATTCATCCTCGGTTAAAAATCATACAGGCAAAGTAATGTATTATTAAACACAGGAAATGCAAAGTTGCACACGGGAAACACCCAAATTATCATTTATTTTTCTTGAATTATTGCCTGTTACATCAAGTTAGAAGCATTTCCTGGAACTATTCAGTAAACATCAAAAGTTTTAATATCAACTATTCAAAGGTAAGGATTCCAATTTATACACCCTCTCTTAGTTACTGCATGCATCTCATTTATCACTAGTAGGGAATACATAGACTGCAATTATAACAATGATAGATGTGATGTGAGGATTAATCCATTGCCTCTCATTTTATTTCCATATATGGTTAAATAATTCATCCAATAAAATACCCTACAATGAAACTTCTTCTCTATGCCTACTTACTCTTAGATTGTCTACATTATCACTGATACTTTTCTGGATATTTGACTGCATCTCTCTCATGTGCTCCCTCAGTAAAACCTCCATGTCAAACTGTTGAACACTGGGAAGGTTGTGCTGAGAGCTGTTGTGTTGAGAATGTTGGCGGGGGCTGGAACTCTGGGCTGCACTAGGACCTGACCCAGAAGTTATTGAAGACGCCACTTCGTCATCTGAGCCATATTTAAAACTGAAAGAAATGAATGATTTATAATTCACTGATTGCTTGATTACTATGTTAAGTCAGAACATCAATCAAAACTTTACAAGGGTGTCATATATGATATGTTTTTACAGGTAAATACAACAATAGCTTGTAATTTGTGTTTCATCAATTACGGGAGAAAACCAGACCACATGATAAGTTTGAAACGTTTCATTATCACAATTTTTGAAGATGACAGTTCATACATTACAACTAATTCAAAGAAAATGAGTTTCATAATTTAGGTTTTTTACATTTTTTCCAATAAAATTGAATTGTTGACCAAGCATGCCATGCAGAGAGACAAAACATATAGAACTGCATCTACTGTTCTACTAATGGAACTCTAAAAGCAAGTGGTAGAGACTAGTCTATATAGCCACAAAAGCCACATAGCCAATGAAGCAACTATGTGACATGTTGGCATTACATGTACTTAAAACATGGATGTATACAGTGGTAAGCAAAACCAAGATGATGCATATAAAATGATAAGTATGTAGTATGTTATTGGGGATCTGAAATTTGTATATCATTTATCAAATGTTAGCAAGTTTAACCTAGTTTACAACTCTGAATAGAACTCTATGCAATGTAAAATATATAAAATGCAAAATTGCAACTGTGTAAGGGGCAATAGGTGTGTGTACAAAGGCATGAATAGTAGAGGCATGTATTTAGGGGTATATGTATAAGGTCATGTGTATAAGGGTATATGTACAGGGGCATGTATACAAGGGTATGTATATAAGGGCATGTGCACAAGGACATGTTTATAAGGGCAAGTATATTAGGGCATATGTAAAAGGGCATGAGTGTAAGGGCATATGTACAAAGACATGTGTATAAGGGCATATGTACAAGGGCATGTATATGAGGGCATATGTACAAGGGTGTGTGTGTAAGGCTCTGTAAGTACAGTGTATGTAAATCTAAAAAGTATCATTACAAACCAAAATAGAAATTAAGTAAATTGGATGCTTGCAAAACAGGTCAATTGTGAAAGCTAAAGAAATCTAAAACTAAGTTTACCACTGGCTATTTTGATCTGTAGATCAAATACTAAATCAAGATATCTAGCCCTTTTCTTGATATTTCGATCTAGTTCTTAAGAGCTGGTGGAGATATCTTAGTGACAAAGGCAATGTGACAGTGCTATACTAAAAGACAGACACTGATCTAGGGTTATAAGGCTTATTGCAAAGATTAAAAGACTTTATCAGTACCTGGCAGCTCTTTCAGTGTCCGAAAAGCTAGAAATCAGGAAATAAAACAGTTTCAAAATAACAGCAAGGATAAATCTAATTGAATTGTTTTAAATCTATGATGTAAGTTCTCATATTGGAGGCAGATCTGTTGACCTCCGCCCAATAGGGATATTATCTAGGGACTATACCGCATGGCATAACCCCAATGGTCAAAGATGGACAGGTCCCCAAATATTTCAACTATATGAATAGTTATTGAATTATTCATCAAAGTTTTTATTTCTGTAGCTCAATATCTATGCATGGGCTTTCAAGAGAAAGCCCATGATCAATGGTAGAATCTATGAGGTTAAGTTAGGTAACTATTTGTAGTTTAGTAAATAATTGACAGAAATTATTTAATGGAAGCTCTAGCAACTGAGGTCATCACTCGGGACAAATCATATTTCATGATTCTTAAATGATTTTCTGTACACTAAATATTTGCATCATATAATTTTGTAGAGGGTATTCAATAAGTTCCTTTCAAAAATCCTATGCAAATCGTAAACATAAAAATATCAGCAACCCAGTTGAAAATACTTACATTAGCATGTACTTTGAATGTGATTTCATCAATCTGAGAGTTTGATGGTTGATAGACAATCAAATTGTAACCATAGTATATGTTAATGACATCACAAAAGGAATTACATCATTATTACAAAACAATATGAAAAGAATCTAGACAGAGTGCTGCTCCATCATAGGTATTATTACTTCAGCATGTGAAGTGATTTTGGCCATTTTTGGACCAAAATTGTCACAAGGGAACCCCCCCTGGAATTTTTCAAAAAGTGAACTACCCTTGGCCAATCCTGGCTACGGGCCTGCATGCCAGATTACTCATTCTATGATGGACCTAGAAGTTTCTTCTATTCCATGATTCTGCAGGTCCTAGGTTTAAATATCACGAAGAGAACTTATAAAGGCTCCACGAAAAGTTTAAACACTTTGACTTATTTTTTCAGTGTTGATATGATATGTGAAATGTTTCTTTTTGAATTGACAAGTGGTTTTAGAACAGCGCCTCTGGAATCACAAATCTTTATATGTTTCAGGAAAGGCTACCCAAGGTAGGTCTGATAGAGGCCAGAAACTGATCATATGTTAGTTGAACAATAGTATATAATATATGCTTTCTCAATGGAGCTCAAAAACAGACAGACATTGGTTCAAAAACCATAGAAACCTCTAACTATCAACAAACAAACATTGAAAGAATTGACGCACTAGTAGAAAATATTAATACAACCATAGAAAAGCTGGCCACAAGACCTGGCATGTTTAGTCAGGCCATGGGCTTTCAATAGAGATTGAATGCCCATGGTCAGGTATACATGTACATGTACTGGATATTGTAAAACATGTGGTGGAAATTCTTTAATATAGAGGCCAGTATTTAGAGGGTAAGCCAAAAAAGGTAACCCAAACAAATGTAAATAACATATCATATTTGGCACAATTGAACCTTGTCCAATGTTCTTTCATTCTAAGTGTCATTGGTCTATTCCTAATGGTCACAATTTTATGCCCATTTACAAAATATGCTCCAAATGCCAAAACATGAAAAACTCACCCGATATTAGAGCCAACACTTTTATATTTCAGGCTATTTCAAAGATAATGTCCCTAGAAGCATCAGAGGATTGAAACAAGAGATTAGAGGAAGATGAGAGCCATGATACAAGATATCTGTGAGCATGTAGTCAGAATAACTTCACCCGATGCTTGCCTCCAGAGAAGAAACTGGCATGTTTTGTAAAATGACCATAAAATCGTGACCATTTAGATTAGACCAATGAACCTTGATAAAATGAAAGAACTTTGAACTATGTTTAATTGTGCCAAATGTGACCTTAAACCTTGCTGTATGACTGAATTATTAACATTTTGTTGGGTTACCTTTTTTGGCTCACCCTGATTACTTGTACTCAAATGTCTCTTTTATAACCGATCTCCAGATTCAATATTGCCTTATATAAACAATATACAATATCCCTCATATGGAAATTGTACAATTATCAAAAAGTGTGACTTCAGTGACTCCTGTTGATACATAATCATACTGACAGCGATAAGTGTATCAATATAATCCCAGTGATTTAAAGATGGCGCAACTCATCCCTCTAGCAATCAAAATGCAGAAACTTACACATGTTATCCTGTCCAAAGTCAATTAACTATACAATTTATCAAATTGATAATATAACGAAGCATAGTTTAGTTTTCACAAGGGATACATACTTCGCTGGTAAAGTTCCACTTGTCCTTTCACCAGCCAGTCTTTCATTGCCACTATGGCTGTCTTCGTTGGACCCTCGACTTTCTTCCAATATTTCTGCAATCATATTAAATGTGTTTTTACTGACAGATCATCATGTTTGTGTTAAAGTCATGAGAATAAGTAGAAATGTTAAAAAGAAACAAGGAGGTTCACAACCTTGACATGCGCAGAAAACCCGTGCAGAAGCTTTCTTGGTTAAATACCAAAACAAAATTCTGAAATGTGAACATTTGTTTCATTCATTTTTGGACTATTTTGAGATAATATTAGTTGAGTATGATGTGGGAAGCACCTAGTGATAGATATTTATCAGAGGCTCCATCTAATTAACAAATGTGTCATTTTAGGGTAAATACGTACTCTATTATCGCCCACTTGATTCTTTTGTATGTATTTGTTAATACTATTAGGTGGCCGCTAGATATGGTGATTACGTATGTTCCCAGACAACAGGTCATAGCTGAGATGGAGTCTCAGGTCATTTAACTCAAGGTATCATACTGAAGATACTTACTTATATCATTAATGTTGTCGGCACTGCCGAATTTATTCTTTATAAGGTGAGCAAACTCTCTTGGCTTGGATACTATAGTTCTGCAACAATAAAAAATATAAAAATATAAAAAGTTCAAAATCACGCTAAACCTAGCTAAATGTCTTATTTGTATCTACAGAAAGGATAGCTCTTAAATTTTCACTGCTACTGAAATAAGAGTGTACTCAATCTAATATAAAATATATAAAATTAAAATCTACATATACATTAAATAAAATGATGACAAATCAATGACAAAATCTCAACCTGAACCCCTATAACAGTTACTATTGTTATAATGCTAACACATGCAGTAATCCAATGCCCCTACAAGTTAAGTGTCTATTTAGCAGACTTTTTACTTTTTTATCTTAGTAAAATACTAGAATTAACAAGTAAATGATAAAGCAAACTGAAAGAGAAATTCTACAAATCTTAGAGGTAAGATCAAGATTTAATGTTTTGAGATAATGAGGCAAGGCCTGCTAAACAGACTTTTAATTTGAAGAACATAACTAGGAATACAAATTTTCTCAAATTAACAAACGAATCATGCTTCACTTACAAATATAGACTAGAAACGACACCATAAAGACAAGTTCTTTACGATAAGACCATTATACAATTCGCCTTTGTAGTAAGTAGAATTATAGGGATGAAATCGTATGTCTATATCTGGGATCCCAAGATACATTAAAAAATATCAATATCCTCCGCTTGTTTGATGTTGAGCATTGGATATGAAGCACAGCATCAAATATAGAGAACTATTTTGGACTAGAAAACATACATTTATATTCAAATTGAGTTGAGAGAAAATTCTATCAAGACTTTCTCTTCATATTCGTTTTCTCTTCATAGGGTGAAAATACAACCATGAATATGAAAAAGAAACTTTTTTTCTTGATTTATTTTCCAGAAAAAGGTATCTCTGCATGATAGCAGAACATATTTGAATCTGCTAAAGTAACAAGCATGCAATATATGAAGTCCATACCACCATGCTGATATCAGTAATAGTATGATAAACATGGGTTAGTTTCTCATGCATAAATTCAACACATCACTCGCTACTCTTATACTATTTCATAATTTCTTAACAACATTAAATAAATCACAGAATAAATAAATATGTAGCCTCAAAAATTTTCATTAATACTCTGTTTCATATCCCTGTCTAGCCAGGAATGCTTAATAAAGGAAACTAAAGAGTTTATGAAAGGGGCTACATATTTCAGATGCAGGGGCAAGACTGTAAACAGGGTTTACATATTGAAGATCAAGGGCATCTTACTCTGTTGCTCCTTTGATGTTTTCCTTTACCCCACTGAAAGGATATATCATAAAATATAAAATAAATTCACAGAATAAATAAATGTCTGAAATCATTATGGGGAAATGAATCCTGCTACCTATAACCTACAGAACAAATTGTTTCTGAGGTATCAACCCAGAACAAAACTACACATACAAAAATATTACAATTCACAGTGCTTTTTTGAATCACTATACAGAATATGGTACCTTTTACTTAGGAATGGTTGAACAGTTTTGGAAAAACATAGTCAATGCCATTATGGTTTAACCCCTCCCCCTCCCCATACAACACAAATTTGAAAATGTTGAGTTTCCAGTCACTTGGATTGTACATGAAAATAAAAATTTTGGATAACTTTATTCGCTAATGAAATTAACTTTGTTTTTTCACAACTGTCAATAACTGGATACCATCCTTGAAAGAAACTGTCAACATGCATATTACGAAACGAGGCATAAAAAATTGTATAGATGTAATTCCAATCCATTTTAGATGAGTTCAGGGCAGGCAGACACCATTGATTGAATTAAAAGATTGAGAGGGAAAATTATCATTAACCCTTTGGAGGGATGACTGATCGCGCTGTTAAAATCATCTTTTTCTGTGCTCAAGTCTGTTGTTTGAATAGAATATGTTTAAAACTTGCATCTAAACTGAAGTGAGTACTAATTCTGCCTAACATTAGAAATGAATTAAACGGAAAAATGGTACAATAAAAAGCAGAACAACAATAATTTAGAAAGAATCTGAACAACTGATGCTAGAGAAGCCTGGAATGAAAACAAGCCAAAATACTTAAGAAAATGCAAGTAATGCAATTCTAGAAGCAAGCACTATCATATTACGTCGTATAAAAATACAAAGGAATAGAAAAGTAAAATGTGGTGATAACAATGGAAGCAAGAATTTACTGTAGAATCAAATATATATTCACAATTTTGCATTTTGGATGAAATGTTTACTGAAAAATCCCTATAGTAAACAGATATTCCTTTGAATTGAAGTATTTTTAAATGTAGGATTGAGGTGTGCACTGATTTGGACTTATGTTCAAATTCTTAATAGTGATTTTTTTTAGTCTGACATACATGTACATGTAATTTGAACTTAGGATTTTTGTATATTCTCATTTAAGTGTGGGTTGTGTTTGTTAGATGTTTGTTATGTTATAAAGTAAGAGGTTTGAATTTGCTGTTGGGGGGGGGGGCATTTGAGGAGGAAGGGTGAATATATAAGGAGGAACAATCACTGAAGGCTTCAATCAATTGGGAGGCCATTTTCAGAAAATATCATGAATTTTAAATTATGATTATGATTTTCGTTGTTTTTCATGATTGCTATATCCTATGATAAAAAGACCTCGATTTCATAAAACTCTCAATTCATGCAGATTTACTGGGCTGGGTTACATACAGCTCTAGATGCATGTGAGAATATATGAAACCGCAACCAAGAGATCATATTCAGGATAACCATGCACAAGCTTCTAATAAATACAGCATAGTAAAGATAGGTGATATAAGAAAAGATTGCTACCAATAAGAGAATAGAAATGCTTTGTGATACAACATGCAGGGCCCAGTTTACCTTGTATTTGTGGTAGCAGGAGACGGAACTGGTGTGCTCTTTGCACTGATTTTACTGCAAGTGTATGGCATATAAATATCTATGTCGTATGTGCATTCATTATCACAGCTCTAACGTAACAACAATTTACCAAAATGAGCAATTATACTGGGGTCTGACACATCAATGCAATTATAGGTTTTATATATCATTGGTCTGACTAACACATTGTCTTGTGTTATGTCTAACATGCATCATAAAAGCCTATGAGGCCTCATTATTTCATAACAATAATATTGTCTCTTTTATTAAGTTTATAAAATGAAATGAGATCATTATATAATATTCACAAAAAAAATATTTTAAAAACTATATTTTCTATTTGACCCCAATATAAGCCTATACTCAGTAATATAATTATCTAGTACTATAGTACATAATTTTACATTTGACTGCAACGAAACATAACTAGTGCATGTAAATATACAGTTTGAAGAATGAAATATAGAAACTGCACTGCTCTTGTAAATTACAACATGTAATTACTTAAGCTGCATGCATTTTCACTGAAAATCCAATGAAATCAAAGAAATAAAATTTTCTAGTGCAATTGAAACTTTTTATGAGACCAAAGATAGCCCATGATGAGGCCTATAGCATCAACAACAAAAATGGTGGCTTATATATCTGAGGGTAACACAATAAAGAAATAATATGAAAATTTTAGATGTGTGAAGAAATAATATGAGAATTATAAAGCGCAACATTGAAAGCAACCTTGTTGTCATAGAGATGATGAATTAAAGTAAGCAAGAAATAAAAGGAGTTCAAATAAACCAAATGGTGCTTTATCAAATTATAACCCACTCTTAGAAATAACTATTACAGTAGAAGCTTATTTTATGTTAAACAGTAATCATCCTATTTTATCTGATTCATATTTGAGTAAACTTGTAACGGAGTGTTTAAAGCACAGATATGACATCATTGACCTAATACACTCAATGAGAAGTAAATAAAAGAGATCCTTACCCAGAAAACCCTGTCAGTCCATCTTTTATATTAGCCCCCATGTCCCTGTAAGATTACAACATTGTAACATTTAACAATAAGTATTATGGGTAAGTATTATGGGTCTACAGTAAAACCTGTCTTGTAAGAACACCTCTCTGAAATGAACACCCAAAAATGAGATTCTATGTATGAACTTCTATAGATGTGTGAATACTTTAGCTGCGTTGAGTTCTCACTTGAAACAGGTTTTACTGTATATACATGTACTAATGGTACCTTTATGTTAGTGCTTCTTAATAAACTTATCTAACTTAGCCTTATTGCATATATTTCAGAACAAGGATGGGGAACAACAAATCCTGAATTTACAGTGTTTTTAAACCATGGATACCACTAAAGCTTGTAAGAATGAGATGATTCTGATTTGACACTCATACATCAACCTCGTGAAGACATTTCAAATTTCAAAATGGTTTTGTAATCTGCTTTACAGCGGTGCCCATGATTGCTTAACAACATGAATTTTAAGATGTGTAGCATGGCCTTTCTCTTGAAAGGCCATGGTGTAGTAAGCAGGTCGTGTATCTAAAAATCTCACCGTAAACCCTGTCCCATATCCCGCAGCCTCTCTTTGGTCTGCTTATGATCAGAAACTCCATATTTTTCAATATCTTCAAGTCTTTTTGTATAATTTTCTAACTTCCTTTGATACTGTGCTATAGTCTGTGTTGATTTCTGGTTTTTCTTTTCAAATACTGCCTTTATTCTGGTCAATTGCTGCTTGTCTGCACTGGCAGCTAGTTTCAGATATTCATTCACATTTTCTGGAGTAAAGAAATACATTTGTAATTTATAATTTCTAAATAAACTATACTTGTCATTTATTTGTTATTTGAACACAATCTAGAAACTGAATTTTTATTGAATGTGCAACTAAATTGGACATTACAGACAACACAGGCTGACAGAGAGATAGTTGAATACTGTTTTATAATGTTATTGCCTCATCATTTAAAAAATACAAAAATTAATAAGTTCTTGTTTAGGAAGTCAGATCTCTATGTTAATGAGATTTAACCAAATAATGACAGAAAAACTTCTGATAACATTATCACATCATTATAATACGTTGAACAATAAATAAACTTTCCTATAGTGCAAACTGATATGTTTCCTATAGTGCAAACTGATACGTTTCCTCAAGTGAAAACTGATGTTTCCTATAGTGCAAACTGATGTTTCCTATAGTGCAAACTGATCCCAAATACCTTCTTTAGTTTTTTGTTCATTTTTTATTAGGGAGACTGTTTTCTGCATCTTATGCTGAAGGTGCTCCATGGCTGCTTTGGTTTTCTGTGGGTCAACATGATGACCATCCAGCTCATCCGTGATCCCATCAATGCTCCCTGGACCTCCATTGGCAGTGGAGTTAGAACTATGTTCCACCTGAAGCACAAGTTACAATGTCAAACTCCTGTCCTCTTTCATTAAAGGATTATCAATCTTGTATTTTTGGATTGTTGATTTCACCTCTGTTTCTTCAGTTATTTGTTTCATGATGATTTAAAACTTGAATTAGATGGAGAGAATCGTGTCTTTTCACAAACAGCATCAGGGGATATTTAGGCCCAAGTATTCTTCTTGTTTTTAGCATATTTTTATCAACCTCATAAATATCAAATATTCCTATTAATAATAATGCCGGCAGTGTTCAATAACCATTAATTTGCAAAAATCAACTTAAACGGAAAACCTTGATTTAAATAACTGATGCATTGATTATACGTTATGTTCTTTATATGTGTCTACCCAATGACTCCTTAAATCTAAAATCTTATGGCAAGTCACTTTATAATTGGTCTAAGGAGTTGGTATACTTATATTATAATAGCATGTATGGTACTTACCGCAAAATCCAAGTCATTTTCACTCCTAGCCCCATCTAGTGAGCCAGAGGCGGGACTATTTAAGAGATTTTCTGAAGTTTGAGATCGGGCTCGTCCCGCTTGTAAGTGTGCCGAGGGGTCCACAGACTTCGGTTTCTTCGTAAGTAAAGGACTCCTTGAGCGTTTGACATTTCCTGCCCTGAGATTTGTATCTGACTTTTTCCTGGAAATATACAAATTGAATGTTATTTATTAATAATAAAAATGTAATATTCATATTTTCCTCTATAGGTTTCACATAATATGCCTGAAATTACAATAAAAATTTCTGAAATAATGGCATGCTTCAAGAAACACATCAGAAAACTGATTGTATGAGTTATAAAATGCATGAGATTCTCATAAAGGCTCCTAAAAGAATAGAAAGGTAATACATCATCACTTATTTAATGTAGTAATGGAAGAAATGTCATCTCAATATGCAGAATGGTTTGCTGAAAGTGTTGAGGCAATATCGACATCTAGCTTAAATGTAGCAATAAATTGGTGGAAAGAAATGAACTAATCCCACTCTCATTATTTTAACATGGCATTTCTCTTAACTAAGAGAAGGAATATGACTTTGATCCCGGGATCGCTTCAATGCGTACCAAATCATAAAACAATTTCAGTGATCTTTCTAGCATATAGAGAGCATACTGTTGAAAAATTGAGAATTACATGCCACCCTATTGAAAATCTATGGTGAAATATTAGGTTATTTCAATCAAGCAGGTAAAGCATGATTAAGCACCTGGGGAGATAAATGTTTCGATCAAACGTCTTCCTTCCCTCAATAAACAGAAATGAATAAATACAATTTCCTCTCCAAGGTTGCTTCTTTGAAAGAAATCAATGTCGTTAACTTAGCAATAAATGCTCTCAGTCTTTTACACCTCCCATAGTGTATAAAATTAATGTAATGGTTGGGTGTCTAGTGTACTGAGATTTTGATATGTGATAGGATTTCCTTTATTTATAATGTTCATTTCACTGGTCAATTGTCATGAGTCATCGCCACCAACTGTATATTGACACGCATGCAAAAAAGATATGGCGAGCAATCACCTAATAGTCCATTACCGGAAAATTGACATCAAGGATTTAGTCCCTGTTAAGTGCCATGTTACTAACCCAAGGACACAAAATTTTATGGGGTTATGGGTATGGCTGAAAATGAACCTAGCCTTAATGTCATAATGTGCTTAACACTAGATTCTTGAAGCAAATGAGACTCCCGAGTCCCACTTTGTATATCCACAAAGATACCCTGAAAACCACTGATAAGAGGTTCAATAAACATCTTACATTCTTTAGAAGAGAACACTTCCACATTATTCGTAATAAAATACAGTGTACAACCCAGCTTTAATCCTAGAGTTATATAGTCACATATTACTATCTATATAATTGACATAAACCTAAGTTTATCATGGCTGCACAGAACCTAGGAATATAGGGAAATGATCAGATAAATGATTTGGCATTATCCACATTTCTATCATTTTTATCCATTGTGACAATTTATGTATTTCAGACAAATCCATATATAGAGCTCTGATAAATACAGGATCAGTCCTCACAAATAGATTCAGGTCCTCACAAATAACTTAAAACCATATCCAAAAGAAGGAAAGAATTAATTGATCATTCTACAATTTAGAAGAGGGAATTTGAATGCATGTATGCCATGGAGGATTCCTGGACGATAAAGTATCCTTGTATAAAACACATCATTATATCGCCATGGGAATTAGGCTGACATGGACAGGATAAACTTGACATTATATCAGACTATACATGACAAATCTAAATGTGGATATAATACCACCTTATTTCACATTCTCTTGTCTATTGTCTGTTTATATACAACGTACATATACACTCATCTTTCACAGAATCATAACTCTGCCTACAGATACGTGTAAGATCAGTTTACTAAGTAATATACAGGGGCTCATTTCACAGATCAGGCAAACACACCTAGCCTTCTCTATTCTACGCAAAAGAAAACCTTGCGAGTTCTGCAGAATGAGCCCCTGTGCTGGGTTATAACTTAATTTGAAATTCTCAGAAATATATTTTTACTACTGACGATGTCATTATGTTTTAATATGTCAAATAAATATGAAATGACAATCATATTATCAATAAAAGCTTTTTATTATCTATCATTATCTTTATTCTCATTTTACAGAATTGAACACAAAATATCATTAGAGAAACATACTGGCTAAAGTTTCAAGATATTACGTTTTATTTCTAATCATGGAAAAAGAGCCAATGACATAAAGTCATCGTGATATGAGGCGTGGTAGTGAAGGTTTGGATCAATAGAGAATTATGGAGATGTCTGCTGTTGTACGAGATGAGCAATGAGCTTATTGAGATAACCTGACATGGCCCTATTGAGAAATCAATGCAGACTTATTTGTTAACAAATTATATGAATTAAGGTCTATTGTATACAATAGAATATTCTATATACACATTGTTACAATGAGCTACAGTGTATATGAATGAAAATATGTAAATGTATGCAATAAGATAAATATTTAAACTCAAGGTAAATGACATAATAAAATGAATTGTACAAATTAGTATTGTGTACTTATAAGTTTAAAAATCACAAATTAAAAGATCAATCATGTGGTCTTTCATAATAGTATAAAAACATTGTTTTTTATATCACAAATTAAAAAATCAATTGTTTTGTCAATAATGAGAGAAAGAATGTCATGTCTTATTAAGTCACCCAACTTTGCAGTTGTCATGGGATAAATCTGTTATTCACTGGTTTGGATTTTATTTAGAGTTTCTACAGGAAAATATTGATATTTTCCCTTAGTAACAATGTCACATCAATGCTTTACCTTAAGATAAACCTTATATCTATTCCCTCCCAGTACATAAATCTATTACACTTATACCCTAATATACACAAGACTTCATTCTAATAAAGTGTAGTTTTATTATTAAGTAATACTCATATTAGTAGCTCGCAGCAAATTTTGCCTTATAAATTAGATAATGATCACAAATTTTATATCATTAGATCATTCAGCAAGATAACTGAATTTGCAGATTTGTCTAGATATCCAGTCACCTTAACCTTATGAACAGATAAAACATTTTCTTGTCAGTTGCTACGAGCATCTGAATCTGTGTGCCTGAATGATATGCTAGTGTCAGTATGTTATTATTGAAATTGGAATTGATTGACCCGATATGGGTTTGTAGAAAAAAATGGGTACCGTGTACCAAGTTTGAACCCAGGATGGAGGATTTACTACCCGGTACCCGTTTTTTTCTACAGACCCACCAGGATGCTCAAGTTCAAATCAGTGCTTTTTTATTTATAATATAAATTGTATGTTTATCAACTGTTCTCTAGCACTTTAAACAATCCTTACTTTTCTGGGGTTTTGTTACTTATCAATGATAAGAACGCTGTTCTGTTTTAGGTGCCTAATTGTCAACAATTGTTGGAGAAAACTTTTGAAGGTTCATTTCATTTTGGTTAAATCACATCCCTCCCCTATAATGGTGGCAAAAATGTGGCAGACACCATCAAATACTGCCGCCAAATGCCAGACACAAAAGTGAGTTGCAATAGCAATATGTCACATGTATATCCAAACCCTCTCAATCAATAAGCTTTTTGGTACCATTTTTACTCTCATTGACACCCCTATGTTAAAAGCCTTCTTATAGACCGGGTGCTTTTCTGCAAAAGGTCTCTCTGTAAAATGTGGTAGGCGTTTAGTGTTAAAAGTCTTCTGACAAGTGTTTCTTATGTAACTTTTTATGCTGAATCCAAAAAACCATGTTGGCAAGCTGAAATATGATTATTTAACCCTTAAAATACCATGTTAGTCCCCCTACCCCCAAAATTCACCCCTATCAGGGGGAAAAAATTCTTCAACCTAAAATAACTTTGATTTTATGGTTTTTGTAAGTGAAATACATGGACATTGTATAAAATAAAAATTTGAAGTATGAATGATACGGATTACACTTAAGAAATTTGAATTAAAGCAAAAAGTATGTACCCCAGGGGGCAAATTTATGACCCATTTTTACTTTTCGTGTCATAACTTTTTTATAAGACAATGATGGATGCTAACAAAATCCATGTAAAAGGCATAATACCTGGTCTACTAATCCTGCAAGAATCAAAGTAATTCCTTTGATAATTGCCTTGAAAAAAATTAGTGAATTTAAGAAAAAATGACATTTTAGCTGGGACTGATTTTATGTGTGACTATAACTGACCCCTATTGCTTTAACATTTATCCCTCTGTGTTCATATATTTAGCATTTTAGAATAAATCTAAAATATAAAACTTATTTTAGCAAAGTTTTAGGAAGATTTAAGCTTTTTATCATGTTCAACTATTAAAAATTCATGAAATATGATGTCTAACATTGATAAGTTATACGTATACCCTTGGAAGACCCTTATAATTTCTTATTTATGAACATATTTGTACCAATATTAGTTTTCTAGCTTAGAGAAATGATGTATGATATATCCTGGCTTGGCTTTCTGGTGGTTTGAACAATCTTTTAAGTGTTATCATTGAAAATTCATTCTTAAATCATAGGTCTGCAATCGATTAAATTCATGTATACCATTAGTATCATTCTACTGGTATGAGCATAATTTAACTAGCTATGATTTCATAGATTAGTTGTTTGATGTATGACATATTCCAAGCTGACTTTCTGGTGATTTTAACCATCTAAGAGGCTTAATCATTGAAAACCATTACAAATAAAGGCCTAAACGGACAGTATTAAGGTAGACTATTAGAACACCCTTATTAATTCCAGGCTTAGAGTATATTGGTACCTACTACTGTCTAATAGCTCGGAGGTTTGATATATGACATATTCTGACTAGTTTTTCTGCAGATTTGAACCACCTAACAGGTCTAATCATTGAATATACTTAATATACTAGGTCTAAAATTGAAGTATTCAATAGAACCCTCTATGATAAATTCAAAAAAGATTCAGAATGACATTAACCTCAACACTGGATCTGAATCAGAATTACAATTCTTCATAGAGCTGAACTAGGAAGACAAGGCTAATTTCATTCTAAGCAGCCTGACAATTGCATGACGTGAGAGCAAAAGTACCAATGATTCATACAAATCTTCATTTTATGGAGTTTTC